ACAGCGTGCACGTCGTGTCGCACGCAAGCAGAGACGCGTCTTCCGTCTGCTCCAGGTGAGCTTCCTGCTGCTGTTGCGACGGCTCGCCCGTCGCGGAAGTCCCTTGGGCCCGACTGCCTCACCTCGGGAGTCCGCGTGGGCCAGACTGCCTCACCTCGGGAGTCCGCGTAGGCCAGATTGTCTTACCTCGGGAGTCCGCGTGGGCCAGACTGTCTCACCCCGGTAGTCCACGTGGGCCAGACTGCCTCACCTCGGGAGTCCGCGTGGGCCAGACTGCCTCACCTCGGGAGTCCGCGTAGGACCAGACTGTCTTACCTCGGGAGTCCGCGTGGGCCAGACTGTCTCACCCCGGTAGTCCACGTGGACCAGACTGCCTCACCTCGGGAGTCCGCGTGGGCCAGACTGTCTCACCTCGGGAGTCCGCGTGGGCCAGACTGTCTCACCCCGGTAGTCCACGTGGGCCAGACTGCCTCACCTCGGGAGTCCGCGTGGGCCAGACTGCCTCACCTCGGGAGTCCGCGTGGGCCAGACTGTCTCACCTCGGGAGTCCGCGTGGGCCAGACTGGAGGCCGGAGCGGGCTGGCTGTGTGCAGGCCCGATGGAGGCGCCACCTGGAGTGTTGACCTGTCGGCCACTTGTCGGCGTCGTCAAGGTGGCGGTGTGCGCCGTGCCCCGGGGGCAACGGAGTCACACTCGGCGTTGATGCCGCCCTATTGAAGGCTTCTGCGACTGATGGCTCATGGTGGCGGTTGACAGCTGTGATTCGGTAGCACATTTAATTCGCGCCCTGACTCGCCGTTTTTCATAGCACGGACCGGGACATCCGACCTCCTGTCATAAGCTACGATAGAGGATCACGGAAACATGAATAGTGAATTGGTCTCAACGAGATCTCGCGACAAGTAATAAGTTATCTGTTACTGGGTCAACACTTGACCCATTTAGACCAGGTTGAAAGCTGTTTGTTAATGCTAATTGAACTATTTAAAGTTTACATGCCCATATTTACAAAAGCATGACATGGAACGACATTACAAATAAGCAAACATGTTCCTTGTTTGATTCTGAGCGCAATGATACGTTGGATTTGGTGGGTGTTGCCCGCCGCCCGTGCTGGCTGTGGATAGCCGTTTTTTTGTGCCGATAACTGACTTTTACGTTTGCTCCGGACCCTGGCTCCAGACATGCGCACCGGGACAGCCAATAGGGGCGGCCCTTTGGCCGACTTCATCGGAGGGAGGGAGATTCATAGATTCATACGGGCATTTGGACATTCACGGTGTTGAGGACCATCTTGGCCTGGTGCACCAACGGCTGGGCGCTCGGCGCTTACGCCTCCACAAAATGTAGGCCCCGTGTAGGAATCGCCGACCCTTCGAGGTCTCTATGACGTCCGCGGTCCTTTTCAATTTTAATATATAACCTTGCGGTGCATCTAATATTAGTAAAGAAAACGTTCGCAGCATCTTTTGAGATAACGTACTCGTACATTATTTCTGACCCGTATTTGCCGTGTACTCTTCTCGTGCTGGTGTCGTGCTGTCCTAATAAGCATCCCTAATGCACAAATATGTCACTAGTCACAGTGCCGACCCATGCCTGGTCGGTGGCCACGCCTGCCAATGCCATGCCTGGCTCTTCTTAGCGTTTCAATGAATAATCTGTAGGAAAATAGCAGAGTAATGTGCGACCTGAATTTTTCCATAAGACAGGTCGCTTCGCAGTCAGGTCCATATTTCTACGTCAATACCTTTATCTTGCATAGCATAGCATGCTCCGTGTATGTTGGGGACGGTTGGAAATCTCCACGAGTTCAATCGAGTGTGTTTGTAAGGGCTAAATGCATCGCGTGTGGTTTACTTAATGACTCCATACGTGTATGGACGAAGAAAGGCCACTCGTCACATAGGCAAGGGCTCCTCGCAGGCAGCGATGGAGAATGTCCTATGCGTCACGTAGGCAGATGCCATAGTGGTGGATTAGGGGTTCCGATCCCTACCGAAATTAGGGAGTCGGCTGTTGGTCGATCTCCCTGAGCCTCACAGATGAGATGAGACGCATTCTCACACGTCGCTGGCTGCTAGTGGGAGAAGCAGTGGCACGTTTAGGGTCCCATCGATGGATTCCAGACTCACATAACGTGAGATTTGTTTCTCATCTGCCTTCATGCGACTCAAAAAGAATTACGGATCCGAGAAGAACTACGAAAAACCGGGGGGGGCCTTTGTTCGTAGTTACGCGGACGGCAAACAATCGAACTTAAGACAATAAAAGCATGGAAAATACTCCCAGTGACATCGCGGTGGCGAGCATAAGGGATGAAATCCAAATTCAAGAGTTAGAATTAAAGAAGACACACAAACAAAGGCGCAGCAATTAAAGCAATTTAGCGTAACATAACTCGTTACTTGTATGGGGCATATTGCCAAGAGTTACAGAGAAAAAGAGGAAAGGTGCAAAAAAGCGTAATGTGGACAATAAATCCACGTAACACAACAGTGGCCTGAGTGAGAGGGGCGGGGGCTTCGCCAAGATTTTACAAGAAAACGCTGATGCGAAAAATACGAAAACATCCTGCGTAACAGAAAGCACTAAACAAGGTCAGTAAAAAGACAGGTGGAAACAATGTCGACACACGGTTGATTGAGTTACTGCGACGTAACATGCACGACGCAATGCGAAACAACCGCGGCCATATTACGGAGCCGCGCCAACAGCGCCATCACTGGTGACATCCAGAACTTACGAGATTAGTCTTATTTGGTGCATATAATATGAAACAAATATTTACGCAGAAGACTAGACATACAAAGATAATTCGGTTAAAGCATTCATAAAACATTGGTTACCTGTAAATTGTTGGCCTAAGTAACGTGTAGTAACCCAAATTAACTAGGATAACCACATCATATTAATCGATGAAATAAATGTACTAAAAAATAAATAAAAATACCCGATTGGAATATAGAACGGAATATAAAACTCTCTGACAAACTAACTAGATACGAACAGAGCAATGGATTAGCCTGCTTTTTAAGCTGTAGGCTTATTAAGCGGCTGGCATATTATGATATTTTTTGGTTGTAAGCCTTCAGCATGGCAAAAACGGACACAAGTTCGACAATGTTCCGCCAATGTTACATAACATTTAATTTGGAGCCTACTCGTGCCAAACACACACCAAAAAGTTTTTACATAAGCTGCTTTTGGGGTCCACATCCATGCCATTCTAATTCTGTATAGTAGAAATCATTGCACAGCATATACCAAAACATTTTTTATGTTCGAAAGAAACCGATAATTATAAATGCCCACGTAAATATCAAGATAGTTTTATTTGAGGCATTTAAACGCTTGATATCTTCAGAAAAGTATTGACTTAAACTAATTTTAGTGACATGAGCTATAATCTGATTTGGTGCATTGGAAACCTAACTGCCAATCCGTGAAGAAAACTGCCGAGCTTATTTATAAGTGAATGGGCACTAACAGTGCCCCACCTGAAGTTTTAAACGTTTTACAGCTTATTGTTACCAAATCATCCCATCACGTCCGCTTAGTCGGCTTTCAGACAATGCCTCTGGTCATTTATTGTCAAGGTCCGAGACTGACTGAATTTCCAAATGACGGGCAAATATCGAGCATATCCAGAACTTGCTGAGACCGCTGACAAAAGTGCTCGCCAGGATACATTTCATTAAACATCTGGGCACTTCTGCTATCTACCACATATGGACAGATCAGCAACTGACACCAAGCGGCTTTTGATCCCGCGTATTTGTGAAACTGATTCGCGTGGCTTGTAGTATCATAGAACTTAACCAGCAGCTCATCAATGACATGTAGAGCAAAAAGTTGTCCAGAAAACCAAAGCATGCATTCTTCAGTCATGATCACATCGTACCTGCATATTTACACACATGCATACCCACACGATGACGCATCACTTCAGATTAGCGGTGGCCGCTTGCAGCCGACGGCCGTGTCGTAACAGGACTTGTCGCATCCCGTCCTTGAAGTTGGCTACCTATACCAAAAATTGGTGACTGGATGGTCTATTTATTCAACCTGCTGTTGAGTACACAACTGCAAAGAGCCTACTCAATCAATGATTTCGCAAACATGGGAGAGCCGTATGTGAAAGCAAGATGAGGTCGTGGAAGTTTGGAGCTGAGAGAAGCATTTGTAGCAATGTCGCAGTCTCACGCTGAATGGCGTTTACGTCGTCACTTGAAGTGGCTAAATCCATGGCTTTGACAAATTTTAGAAGCAGCTCGGCGCTGCCATTTCGTCCGTTACAGGCGAAATATATTGTTCACGTGGTTGATAACTCTTAATCGCTTGAGCGAATCGGTCACAAAACTTTTCGGACAGTGTATACGCTCCAGTTTTACCTCTGAACGATAAAAATAGCTTTCAAATGTGGTTCGAAAACATTTCTCCCAATCAACGGTCGTCCTCGCGTGCCCGCCGCCCGCCACGAGGTGTTGGCTGAGTGTCCAACGTCGCTCCATTCGGCGCAGGTGCCAACACCCGTCATCGGTATTTTTGCTACTTAAGATTCCGAGTGCGCATGCTCAAACGGCCTTTGCAGTGGCCGAAATGTGGATGTTATGAACTGTGTACACTATAAGCTGTGGACACTACTCCAGACCTGGGCGGGCACATGAAGCTGAAAAGCGAAGCTACCAAAAATCTTTTCGAGTATCGAGCTTAGCATAAAACTAAGCACCACTCTTATCAACAGCTGCAAATTTTTGTTAACATCTCCCTTATTTCAGCCACTTAGAAGAAACATCTATTTCACCCATTGTTTGACTCACATCTTCCTGCGCCGCAGCACTTCTACCAAACATTTGAAATTAGTGGTCACATTCCTACATCAATAGTTCTCCACTCAGCTGATTTTGTGTACTGTTTTCTGATTGGTCAATAATTCTTCGCTTTACCCAATGGCCTGGCGAGAAATGTGGTGATGTTTTTGAATTCACAGACGCGTCGTGCGTTGAGTCATTCCTGCGTCCGGACGTTTTGAAACTGTTTGCCCGAATTTTTGTGAAGTAACTTGTTGCAACGGAGTAGTGCGACAGAAGAGAAAGCTCTTTCACTGGCTGTCCTTACAACAAGGTAAGGGCATGGCTACTTTTGTCTGTCCTGATTTCGATTTGAATGTTGAGGGGTGCACTCTACTGTTTATTACAATTTGACTGGTATTGCGGTAACCAGCGGTGACTGACTGTCTATTGCACTTATTATTTTTGTGGTGGCAACAAATGGCGACTTTTCTGTCCATTTCATCTCAGGTAGATATCATTTGTGTTGTGGCAAATGTGTTTTAAGTCATGTTTCAAAATAGCATGTCTGGTGCATTTCAGTGCATGCGGGCTGCTGATGTGAAATCTTGTACCATTTCTAAACGTTTTTCCAAGTTTAGGCAAGTTCTATGGCCGTTCAATTTTGGTAGGTAGCAGATGGAAAATATAGGTAGTGACAAGCATGTCGACCTGCCTGTAAACCAACAGCAAGGATGTGAATGATATCATTGCCATGAAGTTCTCGTTTAAGGGGTCCTGTCTAGATCTTTGAGGGAGACAAGCCTTTAGACAGGTGGGTGCACTTGGTGCCCATGCATCTCCTGGGCTCTAGGGTGCCCCCAGCCTTAATTCATGCAACTCCTTTACCTTGGTGTGGAGGTGTCACAAAGATTGAATATAGTCCTTTCTTGTGTTGAGGTCTGCAACACATAAACAAAATTGTGAAATATAACCTCAGTATGGGAGAAGTGACATCTTGTAGCATCAAGAGAATTCATTCCAGCTTCTGCCAATCCTGATTCTGTGCCACACAGCATCAACACAGGATGCTTAATATTGTGTCACCTCCCAAGTGAGAGCTTGCTGATACCTGCTGTGGCTTACCGACCAGCCTGTTCATGTGTTGATGCACTTTTATCGGATCTAAAGGCCATGAAGCTTAGAGAAGCCACAAATATAGGCATTGCATGAGATACATATTCAATGAATAATTGTTGCTGGATGTTATTCAGTAATAAAATATGTGCCACCTGAGATAAAAAATCATATATTCATTTGTGTCTGCAGTATTGCTTCATTGTTCAGTCATAGCTTATGTGAGAAATTTGCTGTTAGATTTATCTGTAAATTTGATGATATAAATATGATACAAATTTGTAGCTTTTTCACAACTGCAAATGTTGGTTACCAAATCCAGAGCCACAAGCTAAAAATCCATCAAATATTATGCCCATACATCTAAGATAACATGTTTTCTGGTAATGACTGTTCACAGAGGTGTTGTATGACAGGCAGCATACCCAACTTCTATTTTTCTAGTGCTGCATAGCCAGTTGAAACACAAGTTTTAGATATCACCAGGATTGCATGCATGGGATTCCATCCAGTGATGTTGGGAGAGCCAGGCAGCCTGCGGCTATTATTGCAGTATTCATATTTGCGGTATTTATATTAATATATGCAGTATTCATATTTGACTTCAATGCAAAGCTGTTCCAGTTGCCTTTGATCATGACATGCAAAATCATTTTCAATTCAATGCTTTCACCTGATTATCAGGTTTAGTTAGGTTTATCAAGTTTATTGGTAAACTAACTGCCTGGTTTCCAAAACTTGTGGGATGGTCTGGCTGGTGGAAGAACAATACGACCTGCAGGCTTAATGACTTTGAGATTGTTACCTTCAGTTTATGGGAGGTTGATGTGTAGGAGTCTGGACTCCCTAATCTGGAACCTGCTTGTCAAGTTGACATGCTTTCATATGCATCAGCACATGTCGTTATAATGCGCAAGCAAACCACCTCAGCATAACCTTTTCCACTCTGGTTTTGTATTGTCGTTTTCTCTTTTCTGGATTGTTCCTCCATGCTGATCGTTGTTTGCGTTGTTTCCTACCTCCTCTATTTGCTGTCCGCACTCCCCGTAATTCTCTCAGGCAGGCGTCCAGCGTGCACGAGCCGTTTGGGCTGTCCGGCTGCGGCGGTCGCTGTCGTGTCTCCACACCCGGTCACGCGCTGACCTCTGGCCCGGCAGGCGGCGCGATGACGACTCGGAGGTCTCTGCGGGCCGCGCCAGAGCCGCTCGACGCCGAGAATGAGCCTGCGCTGCTGCCGGCCGGCAAGCAGGCGCCGTCCACCAAGAAGATGGGCAAGCCGCGCGCCGCCTTCATCGACCTCACAAATGCAAGTCCACCTGGTGGCGGCGGCGTGCCTCCTGTCTGTGTGTCTGGCGCCGGTTGCCGGTGTGGCGTACTGCTGCCCTGCTGATACAGCGCCTGTTGATACAGAACTAATCCCGGCAGAATAGACAGACGTACCGCTCGCCACTGGGCCGCTCCCGGCCAGCGCCCTGCAACCCGGCTCCCCTGAGCTCCTGGCCCACCCTGGCTCCCCTGAGCTCCCGGCCCACCCTGGCTCCCCTGAGCTCTTGACCTGCCCCAGCTCCCCTGGCTTCCTGCCAGCCCTGGTTCCCCTAGTCTCCCTGACTGCCTCGGCTCCCCTGGGCTCCCGGAATGCCTCGACTCCCCTGAGCTCTTGGCCCGGCCTGGCTTCCCTGAGCACCTGGACGTCCTCGGCTTCCCTGAGCTTCCTGCCCGCCCCAGCTCTCCTGAGCTCCTGGTCCGCCCCAGTTCCCCTAAGTTTCCTGCCAGCCCTGGCTCGCCTGAGCTCTCGGGCCGTCCCGGCTCCCCTGAGCTTTCTGCCAGCCCTGACTCCCCTGAGCTCCCAGGCTGCCCCAGCTCCCCTGAGCTCCTGGCCAGCTCCGGCTCCCCTGAGCTCTCGGTCCGCCCGACTCCCCTGAGCTCCTGACCCGCCCTGGCTCCCCTGAGCTCTTGACCCGCCCTGGCTCCCCTGAGCTCCCGGGCTGCTCCAGCTCTTTTAAGCTCCCGGCCTGCCCCAGCTTCCTGAGATCCCGAATTGCCCCCGCCCCCTTGAGCTTCCTGCCCGCCCGGCTCCCCGGGCTTCCTGCCCGCTCTGGTTCCCCTTAGCTCCCTGGCCGGCCGGCTCTCCTGAGCTCCCGGGCCGCCCCGACCGGCGGCTGACGCTCCTCGCACGGCCCACAGGCTATCGAGAAGGGTCTGGCCGGCGGCAAGAAGGGCATCACTAAGCTGGGCGTGAAGAAGGGCCGCGTACACCGGGCGCCGGAGAGCAGCGGACCGAGCCAGCAGCCGGCGCCGCCGCCGCGGCTGGCGCTGAAGCCACGCGCCGGCGTCAAACGCACTGCCACCGCCGACGCTGACGGCGCCGCCAAAAAGGTCAGCACACCTTTAGACGTTCCAGGCGGCTGGATAAGCGCCCTACGGAAGATGTCCATGCTTTGCTGATGTTTGGCGGCTGATACGTTTTGGCGCTGTCATGTACCCGTGCTTGGTATGCGTAATGCGTATGTACGAGGAATGCACCAAGCTGTATTTTATTGTGTTCAGTGATGCTAAGACATTTGTCGTAAATACATTTGTCCTCTCGACGGACCCCTCCTTGAATTAGCTCTAATCTTGCTTGGCTTTAATTGGACTCGACGTTGGGTAAATTAGCTTAAAGCCCCGTGACTTTAAGTCCGGCGGCATGCCACAATAGCGGCAGGCATCGGCCTCGGTGCCCGTCAGCCAAGCGGGACTGCGCAGCGGTGATGAGGGCTGCCCAGCTGCCCGTCAGTGCGTACCCCGGCTGCGCTGGCCCGTGACGTCAGCGTGCGCGTGCGCGGCAGGCCCGCAAGCTGCGCTCTATACCGACGCTGGCCGACCTGACCTCCGTCACCGTCGACGTCACGCGGCTGGCGCTGCCCAGCAGCAGCAGCAGCGGCAGCCTCGAGTCCTCCGAGACCACCTTCGAGACGCCGCCACAGGGCAACACGTGAGCACCGGCGGCCGATGACGCGCCGCCACGGCTGTGGGAGTTCGGTTGCCCTGCAGTGTCATGCGGGGTGGGATCAGGCGTGGCTGTTTTGCTCCCCTTTGGTTGTTTTTGTTCTCGGTGTTTTCTGTATGGATACATGTCATCGAAGTAACAGACTCGTCATCGAACCTAAATAACGCGCCAGGTGTGTTTTGCATGCTGACTTGTTAACATTTGATTGCTTATGAATCTCACGCGTTTGCGAGGTTTTGTTCCTTCCATTGCAATCGTCAGATATCTCCGTTGGTGCTCCTTGGTCATGTGGGTCTGAAATGGTTCACACAGATGTACTTATATTGGTCTGCACTGACCGCCGTGCCTGAATATCGAGTGGAGGAATATCACTTTACTGTATGTCGAAAGCATGTGAAGTGTAGTCATCCTGGCAATACAGTGTCCCACATTCTCTTCATTGTACCATTTTGCCGCATATCGACTTCCGTTCACTCGAGCATCGGAGTTATGCCCAGTTGGCATCATTTTTTCATTGTGCTGTCCCCTCTCACCGCAAATTGCACGTAAATCTCCACGCATTTTTTTGTTTTGTCGAACGCCTTGCTTCGAATCACGAACGCGGCTGGAAGCCGACATGGACCTGCGTGGTGGCGCCCCTCGCCCGCGCGCGCCCCGACGCTGCCGCCCGCCGCCGCAGACCGACGGCCGAGCGCCAGAGCGAGCTGGTGGACCGACTGAACGCCGAGAACGAGCTGCGTCGATCGGCACTGCCCGACGGCGTGCTGGACTTCGACGCCGAGAGCGCCGGCGACATCTTCGCCGTGCCCGAGTACGTGGCCGACGTGTTCCGCTACTACCGCCAGCGAGAGGTGAGGCCGCACGCCCCGGCCGGCGGCGCATCGGTGGGGACGGTCTGCTGCGTGTGGAGGGATGTTGTGAGGAATGGGTTTGGGGGAGGGGGTCGAGGGCGAGAGAGGGCGCTGTGGTCGCGCACTGGAGTCTGTCGTGTGAACAGAAAAGGTTTCCCCCTGTCTGTGGCATTGACGTGTAGTATGTGATGCTCTTGCGGGGGTTTTATGGGTGCTCGACGATGAATATAAAACTGACTAGCTCAAGCGCACTTTTATAAGGATTGCGATTTCGCGCTCGCGCTTGTGAAACGCTTAGCCAGCACCGGATTCTTTCGTTTTGTCTGCGTAAGATCGGGCGATCAGCAGTAAATTATGATCTTACAGCAGTGTCTCAAGCTTAATGGCTCACGCCCTGCTCTTTGTCGCCATTTGACTGCTCACTTCTAACCCTGGGGGGAGGGGGGCTGCACGTATAAAAGGGACAACTCAGACACCTGTCGGCTGGTCGTCATCCTGCGTGTGCCCGAACGCCCGCCGCCATCGCCGGCGCTCCCCGTGTCACCCCTGGCCGCCGCTCTGACCCGGCGCCGTCTCCGCCAGTCGCGCGTGGCCGTCACCGCCTACCTGGAGACGAAACAGCCCGACCTGACGGAGATGATGCGCGCCATCCTGGTGGACTGGATGGTCGAGGTGCAGGAGTCGTTCGAGCTGAACCACGAGACGCTGTACATGGCCGTGCAGCTGGTGGATGTCTACTTGGGCCACGTCGTGGTCAGCCGCGAGACGCTGCAGCTGGTCGGCGCCACCGCCATCTTCGTGGCCTGCAAGTTCGACGTGAGTCAGCGGCGGGAGCGGTCGGCGCGGCCGACGGAGGCGCACCGGCGTCTCGCGGCTGCGTGGCTGTAGCGGCTGGATGCCGGGCGGAGCCGGTCGAGGTTTGGCTTGCCGGGTCGAGTTAATGTGAATTAATCCTGATTGTGCTGTGCTTTTTCCGTCTACCGCGATGTTTAATATGGCATATGCGTGTCGGGTGGCTGTTCGTGGGTGACAGCTGCTGCCAGTCAGAAGTGATTGAGAAGGGATGTCTGGTCTTAGCAGACTACGGTGCGCGAGCTCGGTCTCCTGTGTTCTGGTTGAACAGCGCGTTGACGTCGACTCTCTTCTCCCCTGCAGCTCTCTTCTGTCTTGCCACCACCGCGTGCATCCACCTGCCACCGCCCTTGACCGCCCTGTCACCCCGCCTGCCGCCGTCCTTGACCGCCCCGTCACCTCACCTGCCGCCACTCCTGTCCGCCCTGTCACCTCACCTGCCGCCGCCCCTGACCTTCCTGTCACCCCGCCTACCGCCGCCCCTGACAGCTCTGTCACCCCGCCTGCCGCCACCCCTGACAGCTCTGTCACCCCGTCTGACGCCGCCTCCGACCTCCCTGTCACCCCGCCTGCCGCCGCCCCTGATCGCTCTGTCACCCCTCCTGACGCCGCCTCTGACCTTCCCGTCACCCCGCCTGCCGCCGGCTCTGACCTCCCCGTCACCCCCCCACCGCCTCCCCTGACTTCCGTGCTCGCCTCCAGGAGCGGCTGCCGCCGCCGCTGGACGACTTTCTTTACATCTGCGAAGACGCGTACGCCCGGCGAGAGGTGATCTTCACCGAGATGAAGATGCTGCGGACCGTCAATTTTGACCTGGGCCTGCCTGTGTCGTACCGCTTCCTGCGACGCTACGCCAGGGTGAGTGCCGCCGCCGCCGCCCCTGCCGTCCCTACCGCCCCTACCGCCCCTACCGCCCCTACCGTCCCTGCCGCCGCCGCGGGGCTCGTGCGGCTCCCAGGGATGGTGGGAGCCGTCGGGCGGGCGAGCTGCAGTGTTTGTTGTGACCCTGGCGGCTGTGTTCGTTCTCAGGGTTGTGGTTGTTCCCATGGTTCTCGGGTGTGTTGGCGGTCGGGGTGCTGTGACTGCCTGGGGCTCCCATGCTGCTCTTGTGTGCTGTTCGGTGGCTGTGTGCGCTCTCATCATGTACCGCTGGGGCCCATTATGGTTCCCACGACTGCCAATGACGAGAGGGAAGGCGAGCGAGACGCGACTCATTCGATAAAAAGATCTCAGGCTGAGTCACGCAGACCGACCCGACCCTAAGGCAGTTTGCAGGCCCGAGTCTTCGAAGCTGTGTGCGTAGAATCACGCAGTTCGCAACAACAACCGCGGGCGTGTCAACATGGCCATCGTTGCGTCTGTGTCATCCGTTTTACGTGCTTGTTATCAACGATAACATTTAGCGCAGGATGTTGATACAAACTAGAAAAATGACAATGAAATGATTAAATGACAGCTTCGGGCAATGAAAGATAAGCCTATTATTGAGATGGGGCTAAAAGTAGCTGAGCCATTATGCGGTATGACAATTTTGTTACCTAAATTCAACGCACGTACCCATTGTTGCCTAAATTCAACGCACGTACAAATGGAACGCACGTAACCATTTGTCCTAGACGCGCTAAGTCTGTCACTGACTGGGACGGGATCAGCTGACTAGCAGCTGGGCGAGACCACTCACCACCGATAGCCGCCGCCACCGAGACCGTGACGGTGAGCTGCGTCACGTACTAGACCGTGGCGGTGTGCTGCGTCACGTACTACACCGTGACAGTGAGTTGCGTCACGTACTAAACCATGACGGTGTGCTGCGTCACGTACTTTACCGTGACGGTGAGCTGCGTCACGTACTAAACCGTGACGGTGAGCTGCGTCACGTACTACACCGTGACGGTGAGCTGCGTCACGTACTACACCGTGACGGTGAGCTGCGTCACGTGCTACACCGTGACGGCGAGCTGCGTCGCGTACTGCAAAGTGACGGCCATCGTGCGGATTACGGACGAATGACTTGTTCAGATCACACCGTGACGGTGAGCTGTGTCACCCACTACGCCGTGACGACCATCGCGTGAACGACGGACGAATGACGCTTAGGATTTGTGCTTGGAACTTGGATACGCTTTCTTGCATTGGTTTGAATATTTTGCAGATGTATTCGATAACTACCAAACATCAGTCGTTTCCGCACCTGGCCACTTTTTAACATGCGTGAAGAATGCCGGCAGTCTCGCATCAGACAATTGTAAAAACAAACAAACATTGTACCCAATTTTGAAACACCTGTTGGCATTGTTCATCCTGCGGCTATATTTCGCCGTGACGAAGGATCCCTCGCCAGTCCGCACGAGTGTTATCCAACCGCCCATGTTATCGGTGCTTGTAGCGGACGCGTTCGCTTGAGGTCGCGCGTCTGTTATATTTCGCATGGACGCTGAATCGTGGTTGACTTCAGCTCTCCCGTGTTTGTTTGTGGTCCGAGGCCCGTATGTGTTCATACCCGAGACTTGTGTAGCTGTCTCCAAGGCTGTCGTGGTGCTCCCATGGCTGTCGGGCTCCCAACGTGCCTCTCCTCCCATTTCCCTATATGCTCCCGTTTGACTTCCCACGCACAATCCGACACCCATGTATGCCCCTACTTTCGACCTCTGCGAAGCAGTCTGCCTCAGCTCCGAAGGCTATTACCGTCGCGTTTTATCCGTTGAGATGTATCCCTGAGCGCCGTTTTCCGGGTTTTTTGAACCAGATGTGTGTCGCCGATGGAGGAGAGGCAGGCATCAAGCTGCGTCATCCTCTAGCCCAGGTCCACGATATGGTACCGTTCTCCCGTGCTGCGTCAGGCAGCTCACCAGGGTGGCGGGGAATAACGGCAGGATCCTATCAAATAAAGGCCAACCTGTCTGGCTCCCACAGCCTGTCTAGTGGCCGCAGTCTCCGCGTTCTGAACGCTAGGGATCATCTGGCGTCAGAACACGCCCCGTGCTGTTCCTGCTTCCATAGCGTGCCGCTCGCGGTCGGTAGGGCCGCAGCAGCCCCCCCCCCCCCCCCCGCCTCTGATGTCTCCTGCCGCTTATGTTCAACAGCCCGACGTGCGTCGGCTGGTCCTGGCGCGACATTCCGCACCGCATACGCTGCCCCCCCCCCCCGCTCACGTGCTGTTCGGCGGTCCGACATATGTGTCAGCTGACACTGGTGCTGCTCGCACGGGTGGCTGACGCTGTCCCTCCCCCCTCCCCGCCCACGTGCTGTCCGGCGGTCCGACATATGTGTCAGCTGACGCTGGTGCTGCTTGCACGCGTGGCTGACGCTGCCCCCCCCCCCCCCTCCCGTCCACGTGCTGTCCGGCGGTCCGACATATGTGTCAGCTGACGCTGATGCTGCTTGCACGCGTGGCTGACGCTGTCCCCCCCCCCCTCCCGTCCACGTGCTGTCCGGCGGTCCGACATATGTGTCAGCTGACCCTGGTGCGCTCGCACGCATGGCTGACGCTGTCCCCGGCCGCCCCGTCCGGCAGTGCTGTAAGCTGTCGATCGAGGTGCTCACGCTGGCGCGCTACATCCTGGAGCTGTCGCTGATGGAGTACCAGTTCGTGACGGTGGCCGGCTCGCGCATGGCGGCCGCCGCGCTCACGCTGGCCGTGCTCATGCGCTCGCCCGACCAGTTCGCCGCCATCCGGCGCACCGTCGAGCACTTCTCCGGTACGGCGGCCGCGCGGGGGGCTGGCCGGCGGGGCGTGAGGGTGTGGGAGGCAGGCAGGCGGGACGCTGGGCTTGTCGGCGAGAGGGAGGAGGGAGGAAGGACGCTGTGCTGGTCTCCGGTCGGACTGCGCGCTGCCAGCGCTCACCTCAGCTCCTGGCGTGGTTGTGTGTTTTACAGGCCTTGCCAGGGGCTGCTCAGGTCGGGAGTTTCAGTGCTGTTCAGCGCTAGTCGGACGTCGCGGGCAATTTGGTTTGGGTGTGGAGCAAGCCGGCTACGTAGGGGCTGCCTTTGTATCGACTGAACGAAGATCGCTGTGGATATTGGTTTACGGGATTATCTGTGGAGCTGGTTGGCTTTTGGTAGCACTCGCCAGATTCTTACCACAAGCGTGCATGTGCAGTAAGCTCGAGCTTTCCCTGCCATGGGTGGCCCAACTTACCGGCGCTGGACTTTTCAGAATACAAAACTGAAGAGTTCAAAGATGTAGTGCACAAACTGAACGACATGCTGAGGAAGGAGGCCAGCCCGCACCTGAAGACGATACGAGCCAAGTACTCGCACAAGTAAGCGCTTTCCGCCGTGCGTTGGACCGAATACGGTGCTCCCGAGTTTGGACATGCGTCCGTGAAGGCTCATTGCGCTGCGCCTGCTGATAGAGCGTCCACAGGCTAGGCCTCCCCCCCCCCCCCCCCCCCCCCGGGTGCGGTCTCTGCGTTCACCATTATTTGCCCATTGGCCCTCTATCAGCGGACATGGTTGTAGCACCCCTAGTTAGGTATTGTGGTAGACGTGGCGAACGAAGACTGGTGGACGGATGACCGGATGGCGGACGAGGGCCCAGTCGTGGTCTGGATAAGCGCCTCTGGGCATGGTCCGGGTGTTCTTAGTGTCGAACTTAGGCCGCAGGCGATGCTTAATTGACGCCGATAACCACAGTTGCCCGTTCGCTTCCCGTGGTGCAGTCATACCAGTGACCTCGAATCCGCGCCGCCACGTGACCGGCCGGCCTCGTCGGCGCGCTCCACCACGTCCGCTCAGCCCGGCGCGGCGTGGGCACCGCTGACGACGCGCTCCTCCCGCAGGGTGTTCCACCAGGTGGCCAAGATCGCGGTGCTGGAGTCGGTGCCGGCGTTGTAGCGGCGCCGCTCTGACCGCGTCGGCGCGCCGCCGGCGTCGATCGGCGGTGACTGGCGCGCCCGACGCCGACCGGCGCAGCGGCCGCGGCGCCTCAGAGGCGGACGTTTGACCTGATGCATCGAACCCGTCCGGCGCGGCCAGCGTTGGGGGAAGGGCGCCAGCGGGGCCGTAGGACACGAGGGCCCCGAGCGCGCAGGTCAGGGGGTCGGGAGACCGCCGTGCCCGCAGGGTCAACGAGCGGGCTGGAGCGCCGGCTCGAACCTTTCGATTGGTCCATGCTGGGGTGTTTTAGGCATCAACTTAAGTTTGATCAAATGAAGTCCCTTTTTACTAGGCTGAGGATCTCACCCCCCAACGTGGCTGCCAAGTGCCAACAGTGCAAAATTGTGCGGTGAAGTAGCGAAGTTGTTTGCGAACGTCTTATTATCTACTGTTGTTTGAGAGCGCCAACCCGTTTGGTTAGAGAAAAGTAGTACCGTGGTAGTCATGGACGACTAAGTCTTAGCTAGTTTAAACCGCATTGTACATTGGTGTAGCTGTATTTTACCACTGACTCCTCGTGGTGCAAATCCGTGGTCCGTCCGGCGGGTTTATTTTGGCGGCGTTGCGCCGTCCTCTTGAGCATGCCGTATCCCCGTGTGCGTGTACATAGCCGTGTGTGTGCCGGTGAAATTTGCCACTCTCCTGCCGCAACGCGATCTGGCCGTCCGAGCGACCGTGGCGACATGACAGCTCGACCGTGAACGAAGCCCGCCGGTCCGGCGCTGGTCCGGAGGTGGTCCCGCGGTCCCGGCAGTCGGGCCGCGGGACCGCCGGCCGCTCGCTGGAGCCGGGCCGGCGTGCCGTTTGGGAGAATACATATCAGGCCGGGGAGAGCGCGTGTCTGTATGGAGCCGCGGAGGCGACGCGCTGAAGGCAGCCGCGCCGACCAGGCGGTGACTGGTTCGTCGGGTCGCAGCTGGGGAGGACCAAGCGGTGATTGGTTCGTGAGATCGCAGCTGGGACGGACCAGGCCATGATTGGTTCGTCGGATCGCAACTGGGGCGGACCAGGCGGTGATTGGTTTGTGAAATCGTAGCTGGGACGAACCAGTGAACAGTGATTGGTCGGTGGGGCCAGCAACAACAGACGTGATTATGGCTCGCGGTCCGGATAAGACTAAATCAATGCTGTCGCTGCTGTTAGTGACTGCGCCCGCAGGTGAAGTGGGTGCCTTCCAACTCTTGGCCGCTCTGGAGAGAACTGTTTACGCGCTCGGGAGCGCCCGATCTGCGTCACCTCTGTACAGATGCCGCCACTGCACCCACCACTGGAAGGCAGACCACGTATAGCAACTATATTCCATCAAACTCGTAACAGGCTACACCATAGCGGACGTGGTCAATCATTTCGTAACAAACAATACTCATCCAGGATGGACGCGGCCGTTGCGTGATATGGTGACGTCACACAGCGGGCGCCACTTACGTGGTGACGTCACACGGCGGGCGTTACACACGACGGCGTGGACGCGGGACGGGACGGAGCTGGCGTGGACCGGGCCGGTTCCCGCTTCGGGCGCCACGCGAGCGCCCTACGAAAGCTAGTACAAATGGAAGAGTCTGGTGGACTGAGCCGATTATCCTCGAGCACGCACTGCAGTTGACGCCTCTGCGCCACGCTGGCCGCACCTGGGCGGAGCGTAGCAGCGTCCACATGCGCGAACACGGGCGCGGACGCACTCGGTAGATTCCTCGCCGCCGCTGGCCGCGCGACACTTAGTGATGGGTCGTGGGATGGACCGTGACGCAGTTCCATCTAGGAAAGCGGGAGGGGCGAGTTCTCGGTAGGAGCGCCCTCCGGACTCAGACTCGCAGCGGCTCTCCCCAACAGACCGAGGTCAGACCCCGGCTCTCGGCCTGCACGCTGCAGACCCGGGCCCAGACCCAGACCCCATTGGGTCCGCACCAATCTCGGAGGCGCCTAACAACTTGCTGATCACTGCTGATGGGGCGCGAGCGCGATTGTCCCAGATCCATCATGATCCAAACTTGCCAGTGCACTCGGGGAAGTTGCTCCTTGTAGAAGGAAGACGTGGGTACCGCAGGGTGTCTGAGACAATTGCAAAATGCAGGTTTCAGTTCAAAATTGATTGGGCATCACCAAAACAACAGAACGACGTGGATTGGACGCACGTGGATTGCCACGCTTCTGAGTATCCGCAGACACCGTGTAGCTCTATGAACATTCCCTTGACTGGCAGGCTCATGGCGGCGCATCTCCACGGGGTCACGTTTCGCGGTCAAAATCGCACTCGGTCCATCGGAGTTTCACGACTTCGTCTCCAGCGCCGGTGGAGGCCCTTCGGAGCGAAGCAGGTCTTCGAACAGGTCATCGGCTGGTGGCTCTGAAAACCACGCCATTCATCACTCAGTCACATTCATCTTTCATTACTCAGTCACACAAGGACTGTACGCTTCATGAGGACATGCTTTGCGGACGGTATTCGGGTGCCGTACTGAGGCCAATGAACGGGGTTAATCGGCCACACCGGGGTCATCTCACGCCATTCAGGCACAACGTTAAAGTGACGTCATAGTTGCCGAGGCCCACACATCGCACTATCTGGCCACGCCAGCTTCCAACTAATTCGAACAGCACATCAAAATGACGTCACCGGTAATCTCTGCGCCCGATGCGCAGTCCCCCGCCAGCCGTCCGCCGCCGACCTGCGAGGCGCACCTTGACAGCGCCTGCGGGCGCCGCTCTTGGCCGTGTCCAGGCGGCGCTGGCAGTGGGCGAGCACGGCCGCCGTCAGTTCTCCCACCGTCCACTGGCGGTCCGTGATCCTGCTGCACACCCACTGCAGCTGCGGCGGGAGCAGGGACGTCAGGGCCGGCCCCGTCCGCCAGCTCCGGCGGCAGGCGCCCTGGTGGCGCCCAGTCAACACGCCGCGCTCGCAGAAGCTCGCTAGCTGCCCATACTGCGCGCTGCACGGCTGCGTGCTTGCACCCGGACGGCGTAGACCTTTGAGGATGCTTGCGACGCTGTCGGCCTGATCGTTGTGTTACACAGACCGTCCACCAGTACAGTAATGTCGCGAGTCACGAGATTTTACCGCCCACATCCTGGGCACACGTCTCAAACGCCGCCTCTCCGCAGCTTCCCAGCGCGGCCGCCAGGGGCGCCACTCACCGTCCGGACGGCCGGGTTGCCGCACGTGTAGTAGATGAGGCAGGGCACCTCGGCGCGGCTGGCGCACAGCCACTGGACGGCCGCCTTCAGCTGCGGGTCGCCGCCGTGCCGCCGGCCGCAGCCCCAGTTGCCGGTGGCCACGGGTCGCACGCCGTCGCCGGCCTCGCCAGCCTCACCGCCCAGCAGACTGCGTGACTGTGGCAGACAGCGGCGCTGAACGTGCGCCGGCGGGGCGGGGCGACCAGCATCACCGGCCTGGGAACAAGGCGTGACGGCCTGGACTCCAAACGGCGGGCGAGCTCGCTACCGTGTCGGCGGCGCTGCTCACTCAGGGACCAAGAGAGCCGGAGAGCGAATGAGTTATGCTTTGGCGCTGCCGCCGTGGAAATAACATAGCAATTCATATGTGACCACGTGGGGAGTGAGATCGTCTGTCCGCCCGTCCAAGCATCTTAGGTTGAGCCCTGTGACCCGTCCTGGGAAGGCCACACCAGCGCAACAACAATGCGTGTGAGTAAAACCACGTCACGGCAAACGGGACGCCCCATCCGTCTCTGTGCCTCGTGCACCCTCCGTAACGTCAGAGAACACGCTCCTCCCGTGACGTCATGGAACATGCCATCCGGTCAGGCACTCCTCCATGATGGCAGACCTGTCCGCCGTGACGTCACACCTACCTGCCGTGACATCAGACCCACCTGTGGTGACGTCAGACCCACCTCCAGGAAGTGTTCGCGCCGGCTCTTGCGGCGGTGAGCGGGCGGGCGGCGCTCGTCCTGCGCCCGATCCAGCTGGCCGGGCAGGCTCCGGCTCTGCGCCGTCTCCAGGCTGCCGGAGGGGCGGCGCTCAGGGTCGGCGGCGGCCGGCGGCGGCGGCGGCGAGACGTCGGCGATGCTACGGCTGCGCGCCGCAGCGCCGCGCGGCTTCTTCAGGATGCCCTTGCGGTCGAGCGAGAGAGCGCGGCCGCTCATGAGCCGGCGCAGCAGCAGACGGCGCGGGCTCGGCAGCTGGCGCATCGTCTCCTCCAGCAGCCGCTCGGCCAGTGTCCAGCTGAAGCCCTCCACGGTGGCCTCGTCCAGCGGCAGCGGCGCGCTCGGCGCCGACGGTGGCGCCGCCGCCGGCCGCCGCGGGAACTGCGTCAGTCGGCGCACCGGTTGCGCGGACATCTTGCGGTAGGCGCGCCGGTGCTTCGCCTTGTGGAAGTCGAGCTGGAGCGCGCTCTCGCGCACGCACTCGGGCACCAGTAGGCGCGCCAGTTGCTCCGAGTACCGGTAGATGGCAGGGCAAAGACGGGAGGAGCGGCCGGACAGCAGCGTGGCGGCGTCGGCGGCCTCGATAATCTCCACTACGGAACCGGCGCTGTGCTTGGCGCACGTCGGCTCTGGCAGCTGGGCCCAGCCCGGGGTGGCTGTTAGTAAGCCACACAGCAAACGTAGATGAGAAAAACAGGGCGGGAACATGCACTATGTCCGCTACAATGATCTTTGTTACAGAATAAAGTTGTATATTGTAAGCCGTCATTTGTCACATACGATGACGTTTTGACGCACAAGGTGATGTGCTTCACACTTTTTGATGCAAAATCCGTAACTTCGGATATAGGTGGTGCCTGCCCCAGTAAATGGCAAAGGCCGATTAGTAGCACGCCACGCCACGAAATAACCACCACCATCCACACCGTAAGCCTAGCCACAAACACACACGCATAAAAGCCAGCTTCACTCTGTAGCCAACGCTCCTTCCACTCCGTACCGCACCAGACAGCGGGCCAGTGACCTGCCTTCGTGCCCACCTGCTCTGCCGTCGGCGGCTCCACCAGCTTCCTGGCCAGCTCCAGCGCCAGCCTCTCGCGCGCCCACTGGTCCGAGAGGCTGAGGGAACGCCTCGGGGCGCCGCGCCGCCTGCCCCCGGGCGCGGCCGCACCTGGGGGCAGCGAGTCCGTGTTGCCGCGTTACGGCGACGCAGCCTAACAACGCCGTCTCAAGAACGTTTGGCTCTCGGAGGCACTGTCTTGCGACCGAACCGAGTCTTGCCACTGGGGTTTACGTGATTGCAGGAGTTGAAAGCAAGCTAAGCGGTGCCATTGCGCGAAGTTTGCGCACACAAGCCTGGGCTGATACGCAATTTAATTGATGCCGTCAATCTGTGGGATCTGCATTGGTGGCTGCCCAGCCGCCGTAACAGCACCCACCATTCCTGAGCGTGGTCGCCCGGGGCATGGCGCCGTTCGTGTCCAGCGCCTCGATCTCCATGGCAACGCCGGCGAACGAGTCGGAGAGAGTGCGCTTGAGCAGGCGCTGTGTGACGCGCATCACGGCCAGGTCGCGGGGGCCCAGCTCCGCACCGGGCTCGTCTAGCCAGTGGCCGAACTTGTCACAGAGCTCCTCCACCTCTGGGGACAGGGCAGAGCGAGGCTTGGCGCCGGCTGTAGCCTGAGCCGGGCAAGACGGAGTGGGCTGCATCCGTGGTGTGGGGTTAGTTACGCCGGAAAATACGGCGTCAGTTACGTCGGACAGGAGCATGCCAGCTACAATGGTTGACAAAATGTCGTCTGCATCATAGAACATGGTGTCGGTTACACTGGAAAACATGTCGCTTACACCATATAGCATAATGTTGATAAAACAAAACAATACAATGCCAGTCACACCCAAGGATACTGTGCCAGTTACAATAACCAATGCGGCGTGCGTTAAATCGGGCATAATGGTGCAAGCTGCAACGGCAGCATAATGACAGTCACACTGGGCAGTATGTTGGTCAGTTAACTGGCCAGAATGACGTAAGTTGGAAGGGACAGGAATATGACACTTATCTTGCATCGAAAGGTACGGTGTCAGCTATACCGGCCAATGGACAGCGGGCATACGGACTTCATTTGTACCGAGCAGTACGGTGTCATCAACACCGAATAGTACAGTGCCAATTACACTTGTATGGATGGTTACACTCCATAGTGCGATGCCGGAGACATCCCTGCATTACGGTGCCAGTCCCGCTGTACAACACAGTGTTAGCTACATCGTACAGGCATGGTGTCACTTGCATAGGAACTTAATGTACCAGTTCGTTTTCAAGTGTCTGCAAAACGGCACCCATTTCACGCGCCCTTAAGCACAAAACACCACAATTACATGTAAATTTATGGCGTGTTACGACGCTCGGACATATCACTGGTCTTCCAAGCCGTATGGATATGAGCGGCGCAGAGCAAAGTTGCAGGCAATGGGCTTCATAAGAATCTTGTTATCATAAACGGTGACGGAATGTGTGTTCGGCTCGGTTAGAATGAGCTCGTTGGGCCAGCACTAACCATTCCAGGCCTATGGAATGAAGGAAAGAGGTGAGTGCCAGCGGCAAGACTGTGACCATGTGAAAGTCCTCCACCACCGAGACTGGCCCTCAACAGAAAGCTTTCTTCGGGCCGCGCGCGGGCGATCGGCGAGGCTTCGCCGGGGGACGCTTCAGCCGCTCGTGGCCGTTGCACGCGGCCTGCCCGAGGAGACGAAGCGATGCGAGGATTGAGGGTAAAGTGGTGAGTGATGACATAGGGCAGATGTCAGAACGGGGGTACCATCGTGGAGCGCACTTTCGTTAGTTCGCACTTTGCTAAATATAAACGCGACGTCATCCGTTCGATGGAAGAGAATGGCTGAAATCGTGTAAACACCCTCGCTCTCATCAGTTAGCGAACTTCGTGAGTGGAGGCCCAGCAGCTGAACGGAGTGAGAGAGGCTGCTTCGGTGCGGCACTGAGCGTTTCCCTGTGTTGAGGAACGCTATTCGACAACTGGCAACTTTCAACAAACGGACCATTACGGCGCCCGAGCTTTTGGCCGGCCTCTGGGCTTAGATGCCCTCAATGGATTGGATTTGCTCACCTGGTGCGTTGCTTAGCTCCAGACCTCCCGAGTTCAGTTCGCACGCTGAGACCCGTGAACGGCTACCCGCACGTCCGGCTCACCTGAGCTAAAGTCTGAGCTGAAGCTGAGCCGCGAGCTATTCCCGGTCAGACTACGGCTCTTGGCGCGGAAGCGGCTCGTCCAGCGGCGGTCGTGCACGAGCTGGTCGGCCACCTCATCCTCGTCCTCGCCCACCGACGAACCATTCCTCCTGTCGACAATCGTGAATGACAGTGGCGATCTTCCTGGTTACTGTGCTCTTTAAGCAGGGATTTCCAGTCATATTCTAACTAGTAGCTCTTCGGACATGTGCCAGTCATTCGAACACTAGAGCACCGGCAGTCACCGTAAAAACATGTCAAACATCCTGGGCACTTCTTCTTACGCTCATGTGCCGCACAAATGATTCACAAATGGTATACCCAAATCTCCTTCGCAATATGGCATTGTTCATTCGAGCTGGCTCATTATGTCGTTCATTGGCCATGTGGCATGCCTGCATCAAGTCTGGTTTGACTGCATGCCCAACCCTGATTGCATGTGATATGAGATGATATTATGTACACACCACACACACACACACACACACACACACACACACACACACACACACATATATATATATATATATATATATATATATATATATATATATATATATATATATATATATATATATATATATATATATATATATATATATATATATATACTCAACGCAAAAAACTGCAAAACCGTGCCTGTATATCCCACCCCATCCCTGCGAGTCCTCCGGTACCTCATCGGTACGTCCTCGTCATCTTGAAGCGCAGAGGCAGCGGTAGCAGCCGCGGCGCTGGCCAGGTCGACCTGCGGCGCCTCGTCTTCATCCTGAGAACCGGTGGCGGCGGCGGCGCGCTCCTCCAGCTCGGCACGCCGGTTGGCCTCCTGCAGCCGGTCCCGGAAGGTGCTGCGCCGTCGCGGCAGAGCCGCCGCCGGCCGGTCCGGCGAGACCGAGCTGCGGTAGCGCGGCGGTGAGCCGCTGCTCGCCTCGCTCCTGCCATCTGTCGGCGGCGGAGGAAAGCGTCGCTGCGGTCCTGGGCCGTGTAGCTGCTGCGCGGGGTTGGTGTGGTAAATGGCGTAAATGGAATGGCTGCCGTTCAGTCCTGCTTCTGGAGTCTGCTGGTGTTTAATTTTGGACAACACCACGGCCACGAACCAGGTTCGCCATTGTCAGAATCTGTCTGTCTGTCTAAACGAGGAGCAACCTGAAAATGATGCGGGCTGAGAGTAAGCTTTACTTCACCAACATAAGACAATTGAGCAGCAATGTCCATCGGACCGTTCAGACGCCATCCAGACTTCTGTAATACCTTGCGAAGGCGAGGTATCGTCCACGCTGCTGCAGGCGCTGAAGAAGGCGTCCGTGTCCATGGACACCTGGCCGCGGACGGCAGCGGCCGTCGGCTCGGACGCCGGCCGGCCCGGCCTCCTGCCGCTCAGCAGCCCCGGCAGCAGCTCGCAGCGCTCCTGCGCCACCTCCTCCAGCCGCCACTCGAAGTAGTCGGCGTCGAGCGCCTGCAGCGGCGCCTGCTCGCCCATGAGCGCCTCGCACACGGTCAGCAGGGTGTCCTCGCAGGGCAGGTCACCGGCGGCGGGCGGCTCGCCCGGCGCGCGCGCCGACTCACTGCTTAGCAGGCGCACCAGCTGACTGCGGTCCATCGTGCGGATCTTGGCCATGATCTGCGACACTATCTGCGAGTTTGTCTCCTGGCCGAGCTCGCCCAGCTCGCGCTCAATCGACCGCTGCAGCTGTCCTATCAGGCGCAGCACGCCTTGGCGGGCGGAGCCGCTGGAGGCGGTGCCACCAGGTGGCGGTGACGACGGTCCGCCAGGCGACTCTGCCATCGCGCCACCGATGGTGGCCGGCCGGCGCAGCGGCGTCCAGCGCGCCGGCCGCTCCTCCGGCAGCGACTGGCGGCACGCACGAACGAGCGCGGCCCCGTTCTCCGGGGCCGCCGGCGAGTCGCCCGACTCGCTGGCCACAGGCGAGTCGGACACGTGCGGACTCGGGCAATTTGACTCGCCGATCGGACTCAGCCGCTTGGTGATCTTGGGCTGCTGGAAGCCGAGGTATGCCTTGTTCAGCTCGCGCAGGATGGCGTCCTCGTCGTACTGCGCCGCCGGTAGGCTTCCGTAACTCTCGGCATCCACGCCGCAGATCTGACGTTCCACAGCCGAGACGCGTGCCGACGCCTGGCGGCAGAAATCGTCAACGTTCACACCGTGCGATGGTTGAACACGACATATGAACACTGCGTAAGGACAGAAAGGCAAAACAACGGCTTCTTCGCGCAGCGGAGGAAGCATTTGCGACACATGTGCTTCGGTGAAGGCACTTTTTTAAAGAGTTGAGGCGAGCCATACCAGGAGGCCACATGATCAACTGAGTCGAATTAAAGCTGACGTTAACTGAGCTCTCGCCCATTTCAAGACCGTAAAATATTTACGGCATCGTTACCGAATCGATGAGGTGTTAGTTATGGCGCCGTGCGCACGATTACCGCCCCGGTGGGCTCGCACAGCGCATGCAAATGCTCTGTGTGATCAGGGGAGCTGGTCACGGCTACATATGTGGCGTTAAACATGCTGCAGGGATAGCGTCCACGTCACCAAATGCCAAAAATAGAACTTGCCGTACATGACTCTCGTGAATGCTATGAGCTCGGTACTTTTAACTATGTTTTAATGGAGTTCTGGCTCCAGCCCTGCCAACTTTGAGTCAACCATGCACGATGCCATGCTATTCATTTGCCTCTTTCCGTTTGTGTATGTGGTAAAGCTGCTCTGAAACGGCATCGCACAACACAACGCCATTCGGCCGACACAATGACTGGCCCACGTGATCACTGCACGAATGAATGTTCGTCGACTATCGCTGCCGTTGTGCGTGGCATGCGTTTCGCGCAAGTATTTTTAGAGTGCATCAATGACACACCTCCCCGGCGCCAATCCCACCCATGTCAAGTCTTCGGCCGCGGCGGCTCGTGCCTCCCTCACGGAGGAGCTTGCGGCCTTCCGTCGCTGGGCGAAGCTCGCGCGGAGAGTGAACATTCTCTGTGCCACTCGTGCCACTGTGTGCCACTGTGTGCCACTCGTGCGAACTTCAGACGATGCGACGCGAAGTCGGGAGCGAGCGGAACAGGACGATACGAGCCGCAATGCGGGGCTATGATCGGCTACGTGGCGGAGAACCTAGACGCAGGAATCCGACCGAAAGCCGCTGGTTCTGCAGCTAGTCAACGATTTTAGAAGCTGTATTAAGAAAGATATCATCAGCTCCTGGTACGCTTCCCACCGAATATTTCCTGAGGAGATTGCCGATTTAAAATTGTGAAATTGGAATTGGAATTGTAAAGCTAACCATAATCCACCTCATGAATTTATTTCACAAACTGAGTAAAGCGCATGGGGGAGGGATGAGCGAGGCCCACACCGCCAGTGGCGTCTGCTTCCCGTACTCACCGAGTGCCCATTCAAATACGTTCAAATGGGAATCAAGTCAATGGGAGCGTGGGAGTCAAGACATGACGGGACCGCCCGACCGCTGTCGGTTACGGCGTCGGTGCTGCCACCTACCGACAGTCTGCTGACCTTCGGCGCGCCGCCGGGGCCGCAGGACAGCTGGCAGGAGCGGACGCAGCCCGACACCGCCAGCGCCTCGTTGTCTTCCAGCTTCTCCTGGAAGAGGGCCGTCACCAGCAGCTCTGGGTGCGTGGCGTGGCACAGTGCCTCCTGGCGGTACGCACAGGGAGCTCGGTCACGGCAAAGGTCGGTCGGTTAGGGGCAAAGACAACTTGCGCCCAGGTAGGTCGGGAAGCGACACAGTTGGGTCGGAGGTACTGACATGATATCGCGATGTAGCAATCAAACGTACAATTGTGCTGGAAGAAAGCGTACATCATTCTGAAACTGCACAACATTGAAACGTATTATTTTCCCGGTGGTATTGCGTTCGTAACACGATAATTATGCGCTACATGATGAATATCTCCGTGATTATTGTGTCAGCCAGTACCACCTACCACTCATCATCATCATCTGCGAGACGGTTATCAGAGGGTGCTTGGTTGGTTGTCTGACACACAACGGCTATTTTTGGGAGGTACAGGGTGGGAAAACGTTATTTAGTCCACCATCGAATTTATTGAAGAATCGATCACAACTATCCTTTAAAAGCAAAATAAAAAAACGTTGTGAATTTCGTTTCATAAAATCTTTCTCCCGTGTTTTATTGGTATTTTAAAGATGTCAAGAATCGCACGATATTGCTGAATGTAAGACCTGGCGAGACCAAAACCATCGTACGATGAAAACACTGTACGTTGTCTATCTAGCAACGGAGGACGCTCATGGACTACACGTCACATGCCCGAGCTAACAACAAAACCCCTGATTTTCTTGCGTCGGTGCGTAAGCTTAACATGTTCATGCATTTACACAATGGCTTGATAAAGTACGAAATTGACTGTTTTTACTAGAATCCAACTTTCCCGTGCTCTCAGACACACACCAGGTGTTCTGAAGAGTTTAACTCAGTGACAATTAACAGCTTATAACTCTTGTCTATGAACCACATACCGGCCTCCGTCTATCGCTCGAGCATAAGCGCACCCTTATTTCGATAATACAGCAAGCATCCATCACGTGCTCCACTTGCTACAAATATTTGCGTACGATGCTAATATATGACTATGTCTCGGGTGCCACATTTTCCAGTCACCCCCATTAATGACTTGCACTATCATGTTCTCCTCAAGCCATTTAGGCTCATTGTAGCAACTTTTTCAAGCATTTACTTTGCGTTGACGTCACTAAAATTTATTTACTCGGAATCCGATTCCGGCTCGACCCGCAACACAAAACTGCCACACTAATAAAGGTCTTAGGGCCTTAGCGCTCGAAGAGACTTCAAAAAGACTCAAAGAGTTTGCGCATATTCTTACCTGTTCGAAACGACAACCGACGGTAAAAGCCCATAAATTTAAAGCCTGTGCTGCCTCGAAGCCCAAGTCAATACCGGAGGGCCATTTCCTCCGCTCAGGTATGCAACCCACGAGATTCCAATCGGCCCACCCAAAGGCCCGAGCACATAACACCCAGGCACGTACACTCACTTCACCCAAAGCCCTCAATTCCTGCGCTCCACCAGCGCCGACGCGTTTTCTCCCCACGCGGCCGCCGCTGCGCGCCGCACCGCCGGCTAACCCCTGACCTGTGACCTGGCGTCGCGCCGCGTGTCGCCGCCGGGCAGCGGGCTGAGGAAGCAGACCTGACTGACCCCCGGCTCGACGTCCTCGACGCGGCCCGTGTCGCGCACCACCACCGGGCACAGCGGCTTGCTGCAGGCCAGCCAGTCGTGCAGACTGGCGAACTGGCGGCCGCTCATCACCTGAACGGGCAGAGCGGCGCCGCAAGGCTCAGAGGGGATGCTTGGCTCAGAGAGGCGGCATGGGCAAAGCGGCGTCGCCCGGCTCAGAGGGGGCGCATGGGCAGAGCAGTGCCGCCCGGCTCAGAGGGGGCGCATGGGCAGAGGGGCGGCATGGGCAGAACGGCGTCGACCAGCTCAGAGCGGGCGGCATGGGCAGAGCGGCACCGCCCGGCTCAGAGGGGACGGCATGGGCAGAGCGGCGGCATGGGCAGAACGGCGCCGTCCAGCTCAGAGGGGGCGGCATGGGCAGAGCGGCGCCGCCCAGCTCGGAGGGGGCGACATTGGCGGAGCGGATCGCGGCCAGCGATGCTCCCCTCCCACCCCCTCACTGTGCGACGGCGCACTTGACACGGTTTTGGTCACTGGACTCAGGGCGTTGTCAAACGCGTCATGTGAGCTTTCATCCATTGTTTGACTGTTCACCCAGCACATGCCTGTTCGCGTATCAAATCATTGCTCATCCAGGACATGGTTGGTCCCCATCGTATGGCTGCCCCACTATCCATCACCTACCATAGCACTGCCCTCCATTACGTGGCTATTCGCCCATAACATAACAGTTCACCTGCCACATGACTGTTCATGCATAACACGACTGTTCACGCGTCACATGAATGTCCACACATCACATGACCGGTAACCCATCACATAACTTTTCAAGGTGAATCACCACGTCGTCGTTTATGCATCGCATAACCGTTGCCTTATCACATCGTTGTTCACCCACCACACTTCTCTGCATGCAGTACATGGGCGCCTTCTCAACACATCTCAGTTCTCTTGCCCCGTCGTGGTCTACATTCCACATTCCACATTTAAATTCCACCGCCACATTCCTGCTCATTTATAACACCACTTTCCCCCCGTCACACCACCGCTCGCTCACCGCGTTGCACTGAAACGCCACATGTCTGTTTATTCATCACATCAGTGTTCACCCATCACGTGCCGATCCGTCACCACACCCACAGCTCGCACCACACCCAGCTCCTGCCGCACAGCGCCCGTCTTCAGAACACGCCTATCGCCGACGCCGCCGCGCCAGGGCCTGGGCCGTACCTTTCTGGTGTAGGAGACGCGCCCAGTGGGTTCGGCCTCCGACATCGCCTCGAAGTACAGCAGCACGGCCTCAAGCTTCACCCGCTGCCATGGACTGCAACACACGCCGACCGAGCGGGGTCAGCGCCAGGCGGCCGGCACGTGACCACGACCCTGGACGAGGCCGCTGCCGAAACAGGAACCCCTCGTTCACCCGTCCAGATGGATCATCTGGCCAGCTGGCTGGAGAAGCCAGCACAGCCTTCGCGTTAGGAAATCGACACTGGATCCCACCAGCCATTGTAGGGTTGCGTTACGTTCTGTTGAAACTTACATCATCACACAAAGATACAGCGCGTCCCCAACGCAGCCGATGAGATATCGTAATCCTCGTGAAGGCAAGCCAATGGTCAAGGACTACAAATATTTCCGCCTCTGGTCAATCAATGCTCCGGGCTCAGCGGCCAACCAAGCGGTCTCATGCACACCGGCACTGGACGAGTCAATTACAACTGAACATACTCGTCCTGACACTAAGTGTCCGCACGTCTGGCTCCAGTCGTGCAAAGCATGGTTGATATTGGCGATCTTTCGGAGAGGGAACGACTGAGGTGTCTGATAACGATATCATTTGCTCTTGAATGTCGTAGGTTTAATCGATGATGAAGGCTCCAGATTAACGGTAACCGATCTTTGTAATCAGTTCACCACACAGGATGCTTACAGAAGAACAACATGTAACCATGCAAATGCACAGAATGCAAAAACATGATTGCCATAAGAACTACCTGCTGACAATCATCCGGTATTCATCCGTCAGAGAAAGACAGGTGACTTGAAAGAATGCCACCACTTTTTACGACCCTACGTAACAAAGTAGGAATTAAAGTGACCGTGCACACGACACCCAGGTCATGCTGTGCATTTGAACACGGACTGTGACTGACACCGAACAGATTCTTATCGTCACTCGGTGCCTGGTCCGTAAACAAAAACAAGACCTTCAGGCGGGGGGCATATGAAGGCAGGGATTCTACGAAGTACGAGACTTGGTGAAAGCATACACTTCTCCGGGAACCCGATTGGCAATTTTATCTGCCGTGCATGCCAAAATGCCCCTCCGGAGCGAAGGCTATGGCCGATTGATATTCAAACCAACTGCACCAATCAATTTTCCATCGCCTCTCACTCCTGCCAAGGTCATGAGCAAGAGCCCGGAAGCCGAAGCCAACGACGGAAGCTAACCACCTGAGGAGCTGGGACAGTTGGCTGCCAGGTCAAATCCGTGTCCGACTCATACCCACAGGAGTGGCTGGGGAGCCACCACGGCTCGACACCGCACCGCGGCAGAGCGACGGAGTCAAGTCCGACTCATACCCACAGGAGTGACTGGTGAGCCACCACGGCTCGACACCGCACCGCGGCAGAGCGACGGAGTCAGGTTGTGTCGAGAGCGGCTGCGCACAAGGCGAGACTCCCCACACCGCACACTGAGGCTAATGATGGAGGCGCGCAAGGTCATGACCTGTCAGGGAGGTCAGCTGACTGCTGATGCCGGGTGCCAAGAAGCTGTCGGAAGCATCGCACGAACAGACGGCAGCCAATAGATCGACAAGGTGATGAGACTGGACGACAGCCACCCCCAGGGGGACAGGGCGACCGCACGGAATGTCGGGAGACGGCGAGGAAAGTCAGGGAACTGGACCAGAGCTTCAAGAACTCACAGAGGAGTGCGGAGACCAGTGACCTAGCGAACAGATTCCACAACGGTCATCCCGCGAGCCAGGGGACTTCGCAAAGAAACATCACACTACAAGTGGCATCACGAGATCAAGTAGATGGTGCGCTGGCACGTGTGTCAACCCCGGTTAGCGAAGCGCATGAGGGCCACGGTATGGACGCTGACGTGCCCACCGGTCCGAAGACACATTCAGACACGTCGTCGGTGACACGTGCACGCGCGGCCACCGCGGATGTCAATCACTCCCGGTGTCAGCTGGTCTGACAGGGTCGGTCGGCCGGCGGCGTCTACTGGCCAACCGGGCTCCACGGGCGGCGTCTGCTGGCCGATCCGGCTCCACCGGCGGCGTCTGCTGGCCGATCCGGCTCCACCGGCGGCGTCTGCTGGCCGATCCGGCTCCACCGGCGGCGTCTGCTGGCCGATCCGGCTCCACCGGCGGCGTCTGCTGGCCGATCTGGCTCCACCGGCGGCGTCTGCTGGCCGATCCGGCTCCACCGGCGGCGTCTGCCGGCCGATCCGGCTCCACCGGCGGCGTCTGCTGGCTGATCTGGCTCCACCGGCGGCGTCTGCTGGGCCGATTCCGGCTCCACCGGCGGCGGTCTGCTGGCCCGATCCGGCTCCCCCACCGGCGGTGTCCTGCTGGCCGACCCAGTTCCACCGGCGGCGTCTGCTGGCCGATCCGGCTCCACCGGCGGCGTCTGCTGGCCGATCCGGCTCCACCAGCGGCGCTGCCGTGGTGGCAGCAGCGACCCCGACAGCCGGGTCCTGCACCGTCCGTCGCCACATATGGATGTGCTGGAATACGTCCACTTCAGTGTATCTCAGTACTTCGGAATTCAGTAGATCTGATATGTTTTTTGTCCGCTTTACATCTGGATACGTGTATGTCATGCGGAGGCAAAGCGTGACGCTATCCGCGAGCAGCTGCCACATTTTTGGGGTTATGAAATCAATTACGGCGCCCGAGCACGACTTAAGTGATGGTTATCCGGCCAGATCGGCACGATCAGCCGGCGCCGGCGCCGAAACACCGCCCGGCCTCCACTGACGACGAGCCAAGGCAGGCAACCACCACTTTTGGCACACCACGACGGGATGAAGAGGGGGTACAAAGGAGAGAGCCTAGGACCAATTACCAGATAATCTGATGCGTGGTGGAACTGGACATTACAAAGAGTGAGATGCCTACTCCGCACGGATAGTCAGATTATAAATTCACAGCTTGCCAAAATGTATCGTCTTTATGTGAAACTTAGTCCTCTTTAATATTCATAATCCTGCTTGAAACATAAACCGACGGAAGAGATTGTTAAGACATTCTGACATGCTCGAACTTAACCGTGTCATGACAACATGCCACAAGATTCCCTAGAATAGAACATGATGTGGCGCACTGATGAGCGCCTATCTGCATTGTCGTACCAGTGCCCATCTGATACGACTGATAAAGCCCTAAGACTGCTGTCAGCAGACGCCCAGGAACAAAAATGAGGCGCCATTGAGCGTCTCTAGCTTTTTCATACGGTCGACGAATGCACACTTTACGTACACGCTTTCTACCATCCTGCCGTACTGTGAACGCATACTGTAATTGCCAGGAAGCATAGAGTGCACACAGCCGTAACGTGCGTTTTCATTCATCGTCAGCTGATGACCATGGCTGCCATGTAACCGGTCGGGCAGATTTACCCCATGAATTATTTGCAAGCAATACGTTTGGACCGTTCAAACTGGCGCTTGATGGCTAGCAGGTGCAAACAATTAAGTAACTCGAGGGAACGCAGCATGTTGCATAACTATGTCACGATAACATATAAAGCAAAAGCGAAACCTTGCTAGGTGAATCCGTGGTTCGCAATTGCACGTCGTGTGTTTAATTTGCGATGAATGATTATTTTCATCATTCATTTGTTATCCCGCGGCTACAGGTCCCCCTTTATTGCTTGCACAGCATGATGGCCACACTATGCAAAACACACACGCAACACATTCAACATTGAAAATCTGAAAACTGCAGGGAGCTTTGCATAAGCTTGCAGATCCATTGTGCAATCCTAATGGTCACGCCATAATCATTTACGGAACAATGACGCGTTATTCGCAGTGTGCATTAATCCATACAGACACTTATTGAATGTGCCCCCCTCCGCGGGCGACGGCCTCACTTTTAACACGGCACCCGCAGCACGCTCCACGGGCTAGCTCCCCGGACCAGCCAGGGCGCTAACCCCAGCTGCTCTCTCCCACTCTGGACTCGTGCGGCTACGGCCTTTCCGTTGGCCGGCGCCTCGGCAGCGACCCCTGCGAGCCGCCGGCCCGGCCCGTCGGTCCGGGTCCCCGACAGCGGCCGGCGCCTGCTTGTGTATGCGACCCGGCCGCACAGCGCGCCGGTGCACTGTTTGCTTTTAGGGCGTCCTGCAATCGTAACGGCCTGTCCGATCCTCCTGAACAATGGCCGACAGGCGGCCGGGGCGTTTTTACTCAGCTTCTCCAGACGCCCGGACGCCACTGGAGTTGTAGCGCGGCGGGGCGCTGACAGGCCGGGAGCGAGAGGCGAGGGTGCGGGCTCAGGGACGGAGCTCAGGGACGGGAGGTCCAGCCGCCAGGCGTTCAGGGATGAAGATGCAGGGGCGGCAGGTTCATGGGCGACAAATTCAGGAGCGATAGGGTAAGTGGCTGAAGGTTCGGGGAGAGTTTCACGGGCGGGAAAGTCAGGAGAGGAAGGTTCAAGTGGGAGGTTCAGGCCTGAGGTTCACGGCCGCGAGGTTCTGGAGTGGAAAGTACAACGCGGTAGGTTCAGGGATGGAAGGTTTAGGGGCGGAAGGCTCAATTTCGAGGGTTTAGGGAAAGGGTCAAGGAGATCACCGCAAGCCAAAGGTTCATGGGAAAGATGCTTAGGAGCACCCGGAAGGGAGGCTCCGAGTCGAGCTTCAGAAGCGGGCGCTCATGAGCCCCCATGAAGGGCCCTGCTGCATCCGTCCTGGCGACGCCAGTCTTTAAGGAGGCGCCGCTACTCACTCGGAGACCGGCGCCAGTCCAGGGTCTCCGCGGCACAGTGATCACGAGCTCGGCAGAACCGGGTACTGCGCAAGAACCGCCGGCCCCAACCACACACGAAAACAAATGACGCGCCCACCTCTTCCCACCCATCAAGGTGCACTCCGCTACAAACAAGTTCCCAGCTTGGGAGAAATGAGCTCTGCTGGACGCCTCCGGCCCGCGACCGTTTTTCTGCCTTTGTGCCGTGTGCAGTGTTTTCCGGAAGTCGCCCGATAAAATCGGCAGACGAGCAGCACGAAGCGAGACTTGAAACAGTCTCAGGCAGAGCCCTGTCACCGAGTGAAACGTCGGAAACTAACGCAGACTGCCGTCCTTAGAAGCCGTCCCCAGTCCGACTCGGCGGTACCATCTTGTCATTAACCTCGGACCGAGCGGCGGCGACGATCATGGGCGCGACGCGGCGGCGCGCGGCCGGCTGGCGCCTTTTTTGGCGTGCGCACGCCCCGCGATGAAGGGCCCCGATACAGTCGCCTGGTGACGGCGCGCCGCTGCCGGCGGGCCGCCATCAATAACGGACACCGCTCTATTACGTGTCGGCGTTGTAGGCCGAGTGCGCGGCTGGCCGGCACCGTTCGCGCTCCGACACGGCGTCAGGGCGTGACCCAGCTAGCGGGCGATGGAGGCCGGGAGCCTCGGGCTGACAACAACGTCGACTGAGTTGATGAAGGCCACCTGAGGTCGACTGAGGCTGAGCGATGTCTTCTGCAATCGTCGAACGTCTTCTTCGGCGACTCGAAGTCCCCTGCGGTACACACCACCTGCTGAGGCCATTTGATGTTCATCTAGCCTCAACGAGGGGCATCCCCCGAGATCTTCCTGAGATCTTTCTTCGCAGAACGCCTCTGAGATCTGCCGTGGCTACGTAAGGTATCCTATGGCCACTTAAGTTCAACCGCAGGTATCTGAGATCATGTTGAATTGCCTGTGTTCGGCTTGCTCCGCTCCGTTCAGCGTTGGCGGTACGCAGCTCATTCCGAGCCGGTCATCACTAGAGCCCAACTGGGACCTCCAGCGGTCCCCTGAGACGATCACATGTCAGGCGAAGCCACCGGCGTATGTCCCACCAGTCCTCAGGCGAAGCCACCTGGCGTATGTCCCACCAGCCTTCAGGCGAAGCCACCCGGCGTATGTCCCACCAGCCCTCAGGCGAAGCCACCCGGCGTATGTCCCACCAGCCTTCAGGCGAAGCCACCCGGCGTATGTCCCACCAGCCCTCAGGCGAAGCCACCCGGCGTATGTCCCACCAGCCCTCAGGCGAAGCCACCTGGTGTATGTCCCACCAGCCCTCAGGCGAAGCCACCTGGTGTATGTCCCACCAGCCCTGTCATGTAGAAGGTCACGCAGCAGCCGCCTGCGCGTGCTCCGAGGGACACCCCCTGCGTCCTCCGAATCTCTCTCGGTCCAGCCCGAGGTCACAGTCCGAGGTCACAGCTCGAGGTCACCTGAGGCCAGTCCGCTGAAGGTCGTCCCTGACCCGACCGAGTACCCGATTCACAAAGCGGAGCATGCGCGGTCTATGCCGGACAGGTCTGAGTGCTGAAAGCCTTTGAAAGCCAACTGAGATACAACATCTCACACGGGAGGGTATGCCTTCATGTGGAGTCAAAGGTTTTGGTGGAAATGTAACGTCCTGGTGGAATTAATTGGGCCTTCGCTAGTTCGACTAATCTGTCCAGTGAAAATTGAGAATTGGGTGGAGCAAAACAGCGAATTCCTTTGCATATCCGCAGAGACTTTGTGTGTCATTTGCGCTGCCTTTATGACGTGACCAACGACATCAGTAACAGATCGGGAACACGAGACTAACTATGTCCGGTCAGAGATTATCGGCACGAGAGAGGTGTCGTACACTAATTACCAATTATGGAGGCCAAATACGGCGCGCCGAAATCGACGCCGTCGCTCGTTAAGATAGCCCCAAAATACTTGATAAATACTTGATTAGCGGAACGACTGGTATTCCATATAACTTAAGAACTAGGTACAAAGAGAGCTACATCATTGACATACCTAGGAATGTGCATGAGAGACTTTGTCCATATGTACCATGTCCTTATTGACGAAGCAGGTGGACCTGAGATCTATAACCAGGGATACACGGTCATCATGGGGTAATCACGGTCACCACAGGTCAATAGCCAAATTGTCTGAAGGTTTTCAAAATATAGCATTGGAACCCAACCACCCACACCCAGGTGCGTGCTAGAAGTGGCAAATTATTTAATATGACCACGACATTTACCTCTGGTCCAACAATTACCATACAACTCTGGTTAAAACATATTCAACCCATCTAACAAAAAAATCATTTATACTTCTTACTCTACATCTAAAAAAATTATATTTTTACTTTTTTCGGCTGCGAAATCCCATCGGTGGCAACTTACCCAAGCGAACCATTCAGAGTAAGCGCGGGATCCGAACAGAGCGAAGCTTAACAACAAATGTGTCTCGCGCAGGCCTGCGGAAGCCTGCTGCCAGCACAGAGAGCCCTCGGCCGTCTGACGACTTCTCGATAACGGTAAATCAAAGTCTTGGCTAACCTGCTTAGGTGGTAAAAGAAGGACGAGAAGTTGGCATCCAGCAGCGTCGGGTGGGAGGTTGTCGAACGCTTCGGAAATGTCGAGAAGAAGCAGTTGGCCACCAGCGCAGCGATGAACCGACGGTCCAGCTCAGCCGTGCCAGCTGGAGTAGGAGCACGACAGAATGAGCTTCGGTCGATGTAAGGTCCTCTAGGTTTTACCCGCGCCAAATACAGGATGCATGGGGGACTATGAAATATAATGCATGTAGTGATTGGATCGGGCCCACACAATATGCGGACACGTCATTCGACGCCAGCGCGCCGAAATTTGCAAGGACGTCAGATTGTAATGTTATCCAAGAGTTGGTAACGTAAAAATTCATCGGGCTGAACAATTTTCGTAGAAAGAGTATTTTCACGGTTTCAGCAGTACACGAGACACCGATAAACCTTTAACCGTCGGCCCATGCTCTCAGGTTTTCAAGTGATAACAAATTTACCGACAGTTTGTAAAGTTCAACTATTCATCTAAGCCCAACTCCATCAAAGTCGGCTTCCATTTACCATCGTGGGCTATCTGTCATATCGTCTACATATGTAATGACATCTGCATCTTCAAATGAGCCTTTAGCATCGATGCGGTTTGTATCAGTCACGAAGGTTGCATCTGTCACAAAATCCACGTTTGCCATGCACTCCATCTGTCACTCCGTATATATCAGTCACAACCACAATCTCCATCTTCAAACCATGTAGACAGCCATAGTTTAGCCGATACCTGCAGAGTCTGCTTCAGCAACCGTAAAAGCGCATCCAACTCAGCCCACAAATGTAAGCCCACTGTACCGTATCAAGTACACCCGAGCCCTCATCCTTACACGTGCCAAAGCATCATTCGCGCGGATACCGGCCCCGGCCGGCAAATTGACCCCGGTAGCAGCTGAAGCGGCCGCCAGCCCGACCCTCCGTGGGTGGTCTGAAGGTGCGGTGCGCGTGCCGCCGCGGCCGGGCGCCGGCGCAGCAGCACGCGCGCCGGCCGGCCGATCAAAGGCGCCGCCGAGCCGCCATTGACACAGGCGGGTCACGCGCGCGGCGACCCAAACAGTCGCTGGGCGGGGACGGAGCGTGTGGCCGAGACGTCCTCCGGGGAGAGAGGCGTAGGAGCCGGCCACAGCGGGATGGGCCAGGGAGAGCAGGGAGGCATCGTGGCGCTGAGCGGCACCAGAGCAGCCCAGAGCAGTCTAAAGCACTCCAGTGCGGTCACAACTGATAAAGGACAGACACAACTGGGTAGGGCCGACAAAACTAAGAAGGGGGACACAACGTAAAAGAGCGGGGATGGCCGGTCGCTTGAAGCGACTGCGCATGAAAACCGCCCACAGCCGCCTAAAAACCTTGGTGAAGTCCATCGCGACGGGGATCCAAGGGCAGTCCATCGCCATACAGAGCCACGCAGAGCGGCTCAGAGGAGCCGTAGCCGCACAGGGCGGCTGAGAGGAGTTCGTAGTCGCACAGAAGCCCACAGAACGGCTTGCAGCCGCCTCTAGCCATCCACAGCCGCGCAGATCCGCACAGAGTGGCTTAGCGCAGTTCACAGCCGTACAAAGCCGCACGGGGCACCTCCCAGTAGTCCGCAGCCTTACAGAGCCATACAAAGTCGGGCAGAAGAGCCGAGACGCGCCCACAGAGGGCCCCAGATCCGGGCCGGGCGGCACTAATTGGCGAGTCCGCCCACCTGGACCTCAGAGGACGCCCGGTCCACGCAGGGCGGACCGGCTAATCACCACAGAGCGGCGCTCCCCAAATCTGTTTTATTCCGCTCGCTGAACGCTGCGCCCCGCCCACCGGGGCGTGATAAATGAGCGGTAGGCGGCCTCTTGGACAAGCTATTTTGCCACGCTCTTCTTAATAGATTTGCGTTTAGCCACGCCACAGGCTCTCGCTGTTCAGAATTTATTGTTTCATAAGTTTCGCGGGTCGTCCTGAATAAGATACATCCAACATCATCAAAGCTTATGTGGTAGCCCAAAGCTACGTCATATAAAAACCGGTACTAAGGGCCCGGCTCACGTAACAAAAGATTAGGCTCATTTATTTGTGGTCGAAACAATGCCAAATAGATTTATTATGCCCATATGAACCCGTCGGCACTATTGTACGTGAAAGCAGCATGGTATTAGGCCTCATCGGAAACAATGAGCCATGAGTCCAGCCTATAGATCTCTGTCAACCATCACGGGCTCCGACCCCCTCTCTCCCCCCTCTCTCTCGCTCTTCTATCTTTCCGCAATCTCTCCTTCTCTTTCCCTCGTCCAAAATGTGGTCAACGCGAGATAATTTCCTTTGAAAGCTATTTTGCATTGTTCCGATCTGCTTTGTATCATATCTAGCTGTCTCTGTCCTTTGAGTTGGGTCTTTTCTGAAAGCAAACAGATTAGGCATTCATTCCTTCCTTTGAAATCTCTCAGTCCTGCTCACTACGTCCTCCTCCCGCTTCCGCCTCCTCCCACTTCCCTCACCTCCTGTCTACTCATCACACCTCCTCCAGCGTTCCCGCCTCCCTCGCCTCCTCCCGCCCCCTCCCGCTGCCTCCCACTGTTCCGGAGGTGCCGCAGCGCTATCGCGGCGCGCGGCGCACCTGGCCGCCGCCCATAAAACATCTCCATTCTCCGCGCTCCCGCCGCCAGGCCGTAACTGGGATTGCAAACGACGCGCGCCGGCCGCGGCCTCCCGCACCTCCCGCGGCGCCCGACCGGGAGTCCGACCCGGGGGTCTGACCCACGCTCCGACCCTCGAGGAGCCGCAGATGACGGCTCGGCAGACAGCCGGCATTTGGGCCTCTCTCTCTCCTCTCTTTCCCTTTCCTCTCTTTCTCTCTCTCTCTCTCTCTCTCTCCTCTCTCTCTCTCTCTCTCTCTCTCTTCTCTCCTCTCTCTCTCTCTCTCTCTCTCTCTCTCTCTCTCTCTCTCTCTCTCTCTCTCTCTCTCTCTCTCTCTCTCTCTCTCTCTCTCTCTCTCTCTCTCTCTCTCTCTCTCTCTCTCTCTCTCTCTCTCTCTCTCTCTCTCTCTCTCCTTTATTTTTCTCCTTTTCTTCCCCCTTCTCCTCTCCTCACCCGCGCTGAACAGTGCGGACGTGGCATGACCTTCTGTGAATGAATTGTAGTTTTCACAAAAGCTGGCGAGATTACACGGGAAAACCCTGAGGGGTCGCCAGATTTTGTGCAGCCTGTTCTCTGCTGAATCTGTGCAAATGATTGCAGCCTATTTGAGGAAAGTTGCAGCCGTCGTGCGGCATACTGATGACTCTCAAATCTTGGCACCGCTCAAGGTCCTAACCGCAGCACCCGTGTCAGAGGTTAAAACCATGCGACTTCTGTGGATGACCGTGTCTGTCTCTGCGTCTGTATCCGTGTATGTGTCTGTGTCTGTGTCTGAGTCTGTATCCGTGTCTGTGTCCTGTGCCTGAGTCCGTATCTGTGTCTGTATCCGTGTCTGTGTCTGTGTCTGTGTCTGTGTCTGTGTCTGTGTCTGTGTCTGTGTCTGTGTCTGTGTCTGTGTCTGTGTCTGTGTCTGTGTCTGTGTCTGAGCCTGTATCCATGTGTGTATCCGTGTCTGTGTCTGTGTCTGTATCTGTGTCTGTGTCTGCGTCTGTATCTGTCCCTGAGTCTGTATCCATGTCTGTGTCTGTGCACACCAGCGTCAGGCGAACGCCGTAAAAACGCAAAGCACGATGTCATCGCCCGCGCAGAAATCCTGAGTTTCATCGTCAGATATCACAATAACTATCTGCACTATCACAATCCATCACGATGACGATCTGCACTATCACGATCTATCACAATGACGATTCGTAGCTACAAAACATGAGGCTGGGTCGGTGGGCTGAGGAAGACCCAGAGCAAAGAAGGAATGCCGAGGGGAATTCGACTTGCTGCGTTAAATTTTCCAACTCAAATTCCCGCGTCCAACAAACCAATGCTTTGAAATCTAGGTTGGTTTCTAAGTAACAGAAAGAGTGTGTCTCAAGTGTGTGTTCCTGTTATCTCAGTGTGTCTCATGTGTGTGTTTCTATTGTCTCAGTGTGTCTCACGCGTGTGTCTCTGTTGTCTCAGCGTGTCTCACGTGTGTGTCTCTGTTGTCTCAGTGTGCCTCCGTGCTGCTCACACTTATTCTCTGGTACGTCTACACGTGCATTTCTGGAACTCGAACGGGGATCACAACGAGGTCATAATTCGATACGCATGAGACAACCAGATTCGGACCATCTTTGGCTAGTTCTCAGTCTGCAGCCTGGTTGGTCAATTCCCCGTCACCTGCAAACCATTGCAGCCTTTGTGATGAAAATTTAGGCGTAGTGGTACAACACGCATAACGATCTACCTCTCGTCTGCGGCAAGAATTCTATCTGCGTTCCACTGCTGCCTCCTCTGGCCGCGGTGTACAGGGTGTGCCCGTAGCGGTTCGCCCTCAGTAGCGGGCTTTTGTTTAGATTCGATTAATTAACCGTGGCGAAGACGTGCCGGAGGTACACACAAAGCGATCCGTCCAATGCCGCACGCCCACGAGAAGGAGGCCACGGGTTACCGGGCAGACATCTAGGCACACAACACCCTGCTGCACGGTTGGCCGAAGCTCACTGTTCCGCCGGTGGTGAGCCCGGCGAGGCGTGCCCACCAACAGCAGGATGATCTTTGAGACCATCACATGCGTCAGTTCGCTGTTTAGTCCTGCCACACTGCTGCTACCGCGTTATATGCATGCTTTTGGCATAACCATGTGGTGCCATGCTACACGTGGACATATTATCACTTTTTTGTTAATGCGTCGTGATAATCACACCTGATTGCCGCAGCGGGTACACGCCCACATGTGGATTCGAGTTCACTCACGCAAGCAGGCAGCCCCTCCGACGTTCGTGGTCACGCGACACCGTAAGACAGCGTCTGCAAGGCCTCCAACGTCTCTAGCGTCTTCAGCGCAGAAGTAACCGCGCCGCGCTCGGCATCGCACTCGCAGGCCAGCGGATGGCGGCAGCTAGCGTTCGCCGCCAGAGGTAGCTGTTTATGGCGCCGGTCCGACGGCGTGGCGCCCTGTGGTCCATCACCCGCGCGCCGGCGTAAACACCCCTTTAATTAACTGCGCAGCGGAGGCGTCGGCCGGCAG